CGCGTTTTCATAGCCAGGCTTCAGCGTTTCAGCAAAGGGGGCAGCAGTACGCGCAGCAACGGGGACAGACAGGCGCTGAGAGCAGCCGGAGGACTTGGAGCGGCCCGAAAGCCAGCCATGTCCTCTCACGGGCACTGGCACCTCCAGGACAGGCTAGTGGGTGGAGGAGGGGGCACACAAACAAAACCTTTTAACTGGATTAAACCAAGCCAATTTCCCCAGCAACTGAGGACGGCTGTTTCGGGGACACTTATGCAAATACATTTACGGGGGCAGCAGGAATTTCCCATGCGTGGCGAATTAAATCACTTCCCATAAACAGGTTTAGGCTAACCTGATTTTACAGCACAGGCGTCAGGACCAAGGCACCCGGCGTCCGTTCTGAATCCCCAATCCAGGATGTGAGGGGGTGAGGATAACACTAAGGCTGCATATTCTGCTGACACATCCGGTGCCAAGCCAGCGACTCCCTTCACACTGCGTATTCCACGGCGCCTAGCACCTTTCTGGCTGCGGGCGCGGGGCTGCGGGCACGGGGCTGCGGCCCTGCAGCCACTAAGGGTGTGTCCAGGCCAACGCGCCAGATGGAGTGACAGACCCCAGGTGCTGAATTTCCAATCATAACAGGCTCTTCTACTTTGTCGACCAATTAAAAGACGCTGCAAATTTAACACGTGTAAATCAGTGCTTCTCGGTGTTATCAGTGTTATGTTTACAATTCATATATGTAACAGATGCTTTTATCCAAAGCAACTGGGGTCAAGGCCCTTGCTCAAAGGCCCAATGGTGAAATCTTTGGGATCTGAACTGGTGACCTACTGATCAGACGAGGCATCCTATTCCACCGAGTGACACACCTCCCTGAGTTAGAAGATGGACTCTCTCTATAGATCAATTTAGTCATAGGTTGAAAAATAACTCAGAAGATGGCCAGCTTTAAATAACACTTTGGGAGAAAGAGCTAACTAACCCCATAAACCTATGTGGCAAGTCCTCAAGCTTGTGGTGATTCCCCTGCTTTTCATTAAATTTCTGTAAATAATCAAGAACCTTCTAGAGCGTGTCCGGGATAGGCCAGTGATGTCTGCACGTTTAGTCATGGACACAGCGTTTGAGGTCTTTCTCAAATCTTTGTCCGAATTTCTGTATTTTTATTCTTAGTCATAGTAATGATAACCAACACCAGTCACAGGAGCAGGGGAACCGACCTGACAGGGTCCATTCATGCCCATCAGGTCACAGCAGTGATTATGTGGTTTGTTGGGGGGGGGGGGGATGGATCCCTACAGCCTTCGATCAGACATCAAACCCAAACACTTTCACACGACCACAAGGACGAGTTCATGCCTTTTTACCAGTTTACTCTACATAAAACTTCCTACCTCACAGGCCGTAATGAACATATAATGAAGAGTGGCTTCATAGTACAGAGGTAAAGAAAAAAAACTGTAGAATTTATGACAACACTAATGTGACACAATTTCCAATACAGAAAAACCATGATGGTGACTATCAAGAGAGCTATAATTTTAAAAGAAGAAAAAAAAACTTCTCTCCATGCCAACAACCTTAATTTCCTTTTAGAGAGCAAACTCATATTGGGCTAAAATGTTTTGCACAGTACATTTCGGTACAGGCTTCCCGCTGGGCCTTGGTTATGAACAAAGGCACAGATATACCCCAGTAAAACCCAGGATGGGACTCACACACGTGTGGTTTTTGAAAGGGCAAAGCAGCACAAGAGCAGGACAGAGAAGATGATGGGCTCTTCCTCTCCAGGACACACGGGCAGCAGAGGCTGCAGTCTGTAAATGCATTACAGCCAAAAAACACACGATGAAGCTGCTCAAAATGAACTACAGTTATATTCCTGCATATTACACAAGCAATATTTCAACTCTTCTTTTTGAAAAACCAATTATTCTTGTACAAAGAAGTCTAAAGTCTAACTGCGTAAGTAGATGAAAGATACTTAAAATTATTATTGCAAATTCAATATGAAATTTCTAATTTCATTCTACTTTTAAATTAATGTAATTTGACTGAAAGTATAATGACAAAACCAAACAAGAATATTTAACTCAGAAAACAAGACAAAAATACCTGCTTGGCTAAATGAGGAAACAGCGGGGAAGAGGGGCGATTTGGGGCTCTTATTTAGACAGAATGACGGCTGTGACACATCACAAGATCAACACTCTCGACTCCGTCTGTAAGTTCCAGAACACAACCCATTATCCAAAGATCTTGGCACATGAACTGCAAGCCACGTCAGGGAGTCTCCCTTAGTGTGAGCTGCACACCTGCATCACACACGTTTCACAGATAGGAAGGAAGTTTGCTTGCAACAGGGAGAGCGTGCAAACTCCACACAGACAACAGTGGGGTAGAGATTCCAGCCCTGATAGCATTACCCACTGAGCCCCCAAGCCACCCGTGACACTGTTAAAATACCATTAAACGTCCAGTTGTGAGGGGCGATCAGGAAGGAAGGAGGGCAAGGCAACCAGCACCTCATTGATGACACCCCCGGGGGCCTCTGGAGGGACTGCAGCATTGTGTGGTGCCTCTGACCCAGCCACAGCCACCAGACCCCTGCTAAGAAGATATCTGACATAGGACTGACACGGATGGTAGGCTCCGGCACCCCAAAACCTGAATGGAGGGGACGTGTGACCCTGGAAAGAGGAGAGGAGGACTGACTCATCACAGCCGCCACGAGACACGCGCTTCTGAGGAGACACGGCACTCGTGACAAGAGAGTCACACACGAGCGTGTGTCAGCCCGAGTTCCAGTGCTGGGATCTGCAAACCACAAGGTGCTGCAGGCATCTTTTAAGGGGACAGGACTGTGTGCAGAAGAATACATGCTTACATCACCCATCGCTGGACACCTCATTTGGTAAGGCGTAGGTGACTTGCTGGATCATGTGATCCACAAGAAGCCATGACTACCAAGAGGGCTCAGGGACAACAAGCATGAGTCAGTTTATTTTTGATCTATTCAACAAGTACCTCACATACCCTCTAAAGCACCAGAAAGCTCTGCTGATTACATTAAAGTTGGTCATTTCCAGTGAACACTGCGATATACTACACGTGTGTTTTGTGACTGCATATACACAGCCAACTATAAAAGTACAAATTCACTTTAAGTATTATAATTAATTTTTACTTGTGACATACAAACACACCTTTCCTACTTTTAGGTTGTAAAATACAAAAGTGCTAACAGCTTTACGACACTGCTCACCCAGGAAACACTTTTAAAGGTTCACTTCAGAAATAGAATTTATAGGTGACAGATAACGTGTCTTTACAGATAAGTGACAGGTGTGAGCACCCCCTAAAGGTCACCGGCTTGCTGCGGCATGGTGACTGCCACGTCACGTGTAAACCTCAAATTCTGAAATGCCTTTTTGTGAACACATCTCATTAACCGATTTAAGGTCTACAAGACATACAGTGCAGATGGCAACCCTGAACACAAGACTCCGGAGCATTTCATTTCCAAGTCTCACAGGCAATTCTGACAGAGCACAAGCCAAAACGAGAGGGTAGGGCAGCTCTCATGTGACAAACAGCATGTGGCATCCCGTCAGCAAGACACCAACAGCAAAAGGATGATGAAGCAGAAAGGCTGGGTCACCACAAAGTTCGCCATTTCATGTTTTCTGTGGGGGCTCGATAAAAGGTACGCAAGACCACGGGTCACAAAAACATGATTCTTACGCAGAGTCTAGACGGAGAAACAGTAAGTAATCGTGAATGGCAGGTAGCACAGCTGTTATAGAATTACAACATTAAATCAGCAGATTCAAATCCAATTTCCTGGCCTTCTGTGGGTTACCTAATTTAAACATATTAAAAAGACACAGTCAGTCTCAGTGGTTTTAGTTCGAACTTTAAGTCAGCTAATCAGAACAGTACAGAGCAGTACCTGAACTGACAGATATTACATCTAAGTAGTTGGGCCCAAGACTCCTACAAACTCCACAGAAGGTTACACCTGGAACAGAAGTGTCTAGATCTTAAATTTGCATGACACTGTAGCTCCCATGTGTAGTAATGCAGTGCTTCAGAGTATAGCTTAGTTTTCTTCTTCTTTCTGGCGAAATGGAGACTAGAAAGCCCAGGTCCTTTGATTGAGAAGTGAGGGAGGCCGGGTAACCCTGGCATGAATAGGACCTCAATGCGCCTCTGGTGTCAGGAGGAGAGCCACATGAAAGAGGGAGGCCTGACAGCTGGTTAGTCTAAGGCTGCTTGCGGTGTTACATCCGGATGACTAAGGTCACCAGCACCACAGACTCAAAATAACAATAAATAATAGCAATGCAACAAGCGCAATGGGAACGTTACTGTTAATATTTACGTGCACCTGTCCCTGACAGCAAACACGATCAGCAGGGGATTAACGAAGCATTATGGACAGTTTGGACAGCGGGGTACTGCCCCTCAGAGCCACGATCCGGGGAATCGGGCATCAGGCGGCGTTAAACTGCCACACACCAGGTAGCGCGTCGGGGTCACACACACATCGTGAGGCCGAAGAAAAAAGCCTCAAACTGCAGGACAGCTGTCAGGGTCTGGAGGTCAGCACGATCCGCATCAGGTTAATCAGAAACTGCCTCTTAATAATGGCAGGGATTTAAGAGCTGCATGTCGCACTAATTGTCAGGTGTGTGCAGCGAGCTGTATTTGGAAACGCACAGATGCAGCATGAATTGAGGTGATACATAGGGCTGGCCGTAGCGTACATCAGCCCCGGGAAGCAGGTCGTGCGTGCCCAGTAAACACGCACATAATATATCTATATAAAGAGAGCCTGGGAGCCGGGATCTAGCGGGTGCCGACAGGGGCGCATGGGGCTAGCTATTCAGACAGCTAGCTAGGCAAAGCCGACTCTCTAACATCATTATTATTATTATATAGACATTTTTTATTATTTTTATTTGTCCTTCTTCCAGACAGACTGTGAAAAGCTTAAAACGCCCCCTTACCTTTCTCACGTCTTCATAGCAAAGAGGGGGTCAAATCACGCCCCAGCGGTCCGTAAAGCAACGAAGTTTGTAGCGGAGGTGCCTCTCCAGCCGGGGCCGAGGCAGGAACACGGGCAGCGGAGAAGCCTCTCCGGCCAGGGCCGAGGCAGGAGCCCGGGCAGCGGAGCGCAGGGGGCCGCGTTGCTAAGAGGCAGCAGGGCGCACAGAAACAGGGGCTTTCTGGATTCTTCTTCCAGATTTTATAAACCAACAGGAGTCCCTTCCATCTCTGGCGTCCCTCTTCGCGGTCCCGAAGAGCCGAGCTTGGCGAAACGGCGTCTTCGGGCGGGTTAAAATGAAGTTCTGCCCCTTTAAAATGAAAATAAAAATCTTCCCCATCAACTGCTCCTGGCTCTTCTCTCGGCTTGTTGGGATAGAAAGATGGAGCTCCCCATTGCGCGTGCGCGCCAGCCGGGAGCACGGAGGAGAGGAGGACGTCCCGACATGCACCGCGCTGCGGCCGGAAGTTTCAAAGGGTTTCGTCCAGAAACAGGAGAAGAAGAGAAAGTTCCCACTGTTGTACGCGGAGTCTCACTGGATGGGTCGTTCCGTTCTCGGGCGAATCTACTGTGCGCTGCTGAAGTCCTCAAAGGTCGAGTGACGCTAGGTGGCGCTTCTAAAAGTTTAGCTATCAGTGAGAGTATAAAAGACGAACACAAGCACTTGATAATAAAGCACTGATTATACTTCTTATTACAGCTTTTTTCCCCTACAGAACTCATGGCCAGCAAACGTTGTCCTGTATGCTGACACATCAAGAACGGAGGAGCATCCATAAAAGCTTCATAAAAAATAAAGCCCTGCATGAGTTTCACATTATTTAATAATTGCATGTAATCATTTACAGTTACATATTTACATGTCTCGGGGTAATACCCAGAGCACCGTTTATTTGCCATCTTCTTTCAGGGCCAACAGCAGGCCTGCTGCTGGATCATTACATATCCATGCCTCATATTGAATGGGAACTTCATATTTCCTGGTATGGATTAAATCAGTTTATAAATTATATGAAGAAAACTGTCAAAGTGAAGAAAAGTCATGTTACTGTTAACCTGCAGAGATGTTCCCCTTGCTTGGGATTAAGCATTCAGAATAGTATGTGATTATTATCACAAGTCTAGTAGAAAAGAAAGTGATGAGATTTTATCTCCTTGAAATTTGGTATCCGTATTTCTGCCATTCCTGCAGCAGAAAGGAAAACTAGACAATGACCAGTGGAGAATGTGTAAATATTCAACCAGGTTATATTGTCTGGTCATTTTAGCTGCATACAGTTTGGAAATGTAAGTGCTGAGTATTTCAGACATGCAGCGTTCATTAGTGAAGCCCCACTTTTTGGCTTACCTACAGCCGGTCCCACTAATCTCACTTACAGCTAATTTTTGATTATCCTCAAAGACACCGGCCAGAGGCTTACAGTGAGATTGAGAAGTGTGTAATGTTAACACAAGTATGTCTAATTCTGATTCTTCATAATGCAATGTCTTATGTACTGCTAGGCTTAAATTTCCAAGTGCAATTAAGTGTCGACCAAAGTAGTTAATGAGGACTTGGGTAAATAAGCATAAAGGCACTGGCATTTGGTTCCATGGGGAATGAGTAATTGTATCTGTGCTCTTTAAAGTTTAACAAGAGCAATTACAAGGTCAAAGAGAATACAGGTTTGCCTTAAATACTTTGCTAGAAGGACCTGCTAATATAAATGATGTATACTCCATTGGGGTAAAAATCCAGTTCCCAAAAAACAGGCTAAAATGTTAGTTTCCCTAAGCATTATCTGTTTTCCTGAGCTTATCCCTTCTTTGTTTATTGACTTCATCCTTTGTCATTTTTTTTGGGAGAGAGAGACTCACAATAGTTACTACATTAATTTGAATCTGCTGGATGTGGTTTGCTTGCAGGTCGGTGATGTCGCTTGTCTCTGCCCAATCAGCAGACCCTCCCCCAGCCCCAAGGCTCAGGTTCTGTTCAGGTCGCACCTGTCACCATCAGCAGTGTAAGAGTGCCCCAGCAAATGGGGGCTGACATGTGAGGGAGTGGGCGGAGTTACATTCTCTTTCAGCTGCTGCTGCTCCACACGTTGCCTGGGGCCATGAGGACAGCTGCTCTCAGCTCTCCTCTACACCACCCCCCAGGTCCACTTCAATACAGAAGGAAACAGCTTGGGTCTCAGCTCCTGATCCATACGTTCTGCTAGGCAGTCTTCACACTAAGGTGCGGAGGCAGGAAAAGCCCAAACCAGTCTATTTGTAGCAGACAGGAAATGCCTTGAATTTTAGTTCCACCTTTTTATACACTATATTGCCAAAAGTATTGAGACACCTGCCTTTACACACACAAACAAACTTTAATAACATCCCATTCTTAATACATAGGCTTTAATATGGAGTTGGACCACTGTTTACAACTATAACAGCTTTAACTCTTCTGGGAAGGCTGTCCACAAGTTTTAGGAGTTTGTTTATGGGAATTTTGAGGTCAGACACTGATGTTGGAGAAGAAGGCCTGGCTCACAGTCTCCACTCTAATTCATGCTAAAGGTGTTCTGTCAGGTTGAGGTCAGGGCTCTGTGCAGGCCAGTCAAGTTTCTCCTCACCAGACTCGTTCATCAATGTCCTTATGGACCTTGCTTTGTGCACTGGTGCGCAGTCATGTTGGAACAGGAAGGGGCCACCCTCAAACTGCCCCCAACAGAGTTGGAAGCATGAAATTGTCCAAAATGACTTTGAATGCTGCAGCATTAAGAGCTCCTATCACTGGAACTAAGGGGCCAAGCCAAACCCCGGAAAAACAACCCCACACCATAACCCTCCCTCCACCAAACTTCACACTTGACACAATGCAGTCAGGGAAGTACCGTTCTCCTGACAACCGCCAAACCCAGACTTGTCCATCGGATTGCCAGACAGAGAAGCGTGATTCATTACTCCAGAGAACACGTCTCCTGTCAGGGTCAGCACCCATCTGCCCCAGCTTTTCGTGTCTCTTCCCCTTTTGGCCAACAGGTGTCTCTGGCCATCCTGATCTCCCTGTGCACCAAGTCCTTTGCCTGTTTCCTTACTTCCTCACATTGTTGTGTGGTGCTATGGGCTGATCATGTGGATATTCATCCTTTAGTCGTGTGTTTGAGTCCAGCTGCCTGTTTTTGTATTCATTAGATATTGTTCCCTAGCGTTTCTTTTGTATTAGTTTTCTTGTCTTTTCCTTGCTTGTGTCCTGTTTTGTTCCTTTCTGGTTCTGTTTAATTATCCTTGTGTTCTGTCCCTAGTGTTCTATTTCCAGTTTTCTAGTTTTTGGTATTTGTAAAGCTCCCTGGTTCCTGTGTTTAATTATTATTAGTTCCACCTGTTGCCCATTTTTCTTGTGCCAGTCCTTGTTAATTGTTCTCTCCTGTCCTGTGTTTCCTTGTTAACCATCTGTATTTAAGTACCTGATCCTGCTCTGTTGCTTGTGGAGTCATTGACTGTGTTCTTGATGATTCTGTGATGTTGGTCATTTGGTTTTTGTTATGCTTGCTTCCCTGCCTGTTCTCTGTATTACACATTTTCCTTTTGTAATCATTTATTGTTCCGTTAGCTGTATTATTCCCCTGGTTAGGTTAGACCCTTTGTGATCTTTTTGTTTTGTAGTGTTCCTAGTGTCCTCATTATCTACAATTAACCCCTGTTGTTTCCTGGATCCGCAAGTGGATTGTCACCTCCTTTTTTTTCCTGCCTCAATCATGCCCTGAGTCTGTGACAAGAACCCCCCCAAGACCCTGACAGTCTCCACTGCTCTAGAGTCCAGTGGCAGTGTGCTTTACACCACTGCATCTGGCTCTTTGCATTACACTGTGTGATGTATGGCTCGGATGCAGCTGCTTGGCCATGGAAATCCATTCCATGAAGTTCTCTCCACACTGTTCTTGAGCTAATCTGAAGGCCTGTGGAATATTTATTAGTGAGGAAATTTCCCAAATGGACTTATTGCACAGGTGGCATCCTATCATGGTACAATGCTTGAACTCAGTGATGAACACCTGAATTCAATTATTTGGAGGTGTGTCCCAATACTTCTGGCAATATAGTGTATTTACAAAAGAAGTGAATTAGAGGGTGTACTCTGTCAGAACAGTATGTTAACTCAGAAGTCGTTAATAATTAGATACCAGTTTAGTGAATGTGAATGTTTTGCTTTTTCAGTTGTTTTGAAGCACATGTTGCTCTCAGCTGTTGACCAGTCTAAGAAAAACCCAGTCAGTGGGCCAATCAGGATGACCACTGGGAATCTTTGCTAACCTTAACCCAGCAGTGGCAACACCAGAGGCCTGTACTACGAAGCGGGGTTACTGGCTTATCGGGGTAATTTGTCGGATTTAAGGTACCACAGTTTAAATGGACTTCATATTCGTTCACTTACATTTTGCCCAGACTACCTTACATCGGACACGTTACCCCGATAAGCCAGTAACGCCGCTTGGTAGTACAGGTCCTAGTTATGACACCTTGGAGTTTCCTTCTCATGAGCAGTCGCCATTTCTCTCACAACAATTCTTCCTGGGTACACAATGAGAAGGGTGTCCCACACTGTCCTGAGTCTGCTCGTAAGCCTGTTTGTGAATCTGCCTTAGCTCTCAGCTTCTCTGCAGTCTCCCCTCACGAGAATGACAAATGTCTACATTCAAGGACAATCGAGAGTAGAACAGAAGCAGTGGAGATCTTCAAAGGAACGTAATTTCCTTTGGGATAAACACACTCCACCCTCAGAGTGCTGCATTCTCCTCATTTGCGGATCTGAGCTCCTGCAATCAGGGACTTAGAAAGGTCAAATAGGGTCTAATGCCTCCTTAACCCTTTCGATGGGAAGAGGTGGGGTCTGCCTTAGCCACTTACATTACATTACATTTCTCGATTGTATGCTTATGGCCATGTTGCACCAGGGAGTGGCCTGCTGTAAGAGTAAAGTCACATAAGGCCTCCTTTCAAGCAGGTATAGCCCTCCCCCCCCNTAAGGCCTCCTTTCAAGCAGGTATAGCCCTCCCCACCCCGAAAACTGTAGTTGAAATGAAGATATTACGAGATGTACGAGGAAAGTTAAAGATCAGAGCAAAAAGATGGGACTACATTTAAATGTGAATAAAATATGACCATCACGATGACAGCTAACTTAAGCATTTGATGGTGAAGACATTCTTGGAACAATCATCAACATCGTCGTCTTTTACGGTATCGTCTGCTTATTCATTCTGAAATATTCCTCATCATCTCGTTGCCGTGACACTTAAAATTTTCTTTTCGTCACACCTTCAGCACCAAACAGGAAGCAGCGAAGCAGGTACAGGATATATAGGTAGGGTAGATAGCATAGGTGGGGACTCGAGTCACTGAGTCGCAACTTGACTCGGTCTTAAGTGACAAATTTGATGACTTGTGACTTAACAAG